GAAATGAACTGGAATTTTCCCTTGATTTCTTTATACCCTGGCCTGAGCTTCCAGGATAGTAATTTAATGAATAATAAAAATCCAGAATATGTATGTCCTCAAATTGTGTCCTGTCTAAACAACACTTTTTAGTAACACAGTATCACAAACTAAGAAAACAAAAAAGTATTTTTGAAGGTTTCATTTATTTTCCTCCATTTTCCAAAGGAAAATAAATTATGAGATATTTTAGTCAAACCAAATATTGATTTTCAAGTGAAAGATCTCACCCAGTTCAGCTACAAAACTAAAAGTGACTTCACTCACTGGTCACTCACAGGTTGCCCTCATATCATATCAAAACAAAACAACATTTGTGTGTTTTCAAGGCTCTTCTTCTGGCTCTGTGATTTTAGACGAGTATATAGGATTGCATTAGGGTAACTATTTTCAAATAATTAGGCAAATAAAATGCTTTGTTTTTGATGTCGTTACGTGATCTCCAGAACATGTATCAAAATTTGGGATCATGAGCACTGCCAAATTTTTAATAAAAGAGTTATAAGATGAAGAGTTCTGTAAGTAATCTGCGTATATCTGTACGCTTGGTAAATTATTATTATTATTATTATTATTTTAAAGCGGGTCTGCATTTTGATCCTGATGAATTTTTGATCTGTCTTGAGCTCCTTCACTTTTCCATATCTGAGAACAAGTAGAAGACACCCATAAATCACACCCAAGTAACCCCACATCACTTCCTAATCATACCTCTTCTGTGCGGAAAGCAGTGTGAGGCAGTTTGAAAACTGAAACCAAATTATTTTTATGTCTGCAGCAAGACTTTTCCATTTATTAAAGCTGAAAATAGCCTTATACTGATGGTAAATGGCATTTGCCTCACTTCCACCCTGGCATTTGAGACCCCTGCAAGTCCAGTGCTAAAACCTTCACTTGACTTACTTCAATCATAGATTCTTCAAACCAATAGCACCAGATCAAACAGTTACAGTTTAATCTTTCTGAACTTTACAACCTTTTAATGGCATTTTACCATTAACCAAGAAATTATTACATCAAATGTGTTTCAACCATCTGAATGTCAAACTGAAAGTAAGATAAAACTATAATATGTTGACGGAACTAGGTAAATGTGAAATTATCACTTAACTGTGTTTCATTTGTTCACGGTTCTTTCTTAAAAATAAATACTTTTTTTTTTTTTTTGCACAAAGGAATTAATAAAACTTATTTACTGTACATTTTAATACAAGTTGGGAACTTCTGCTCAGTGAATTGTAAGTTGCAAAAAAAAAAAATTACTCAGAATCATAATTCTAAAACACATGCTCTGTTAGGGCAGTTTGCAGGTAGGAAAAATTAAAACTCAATGGCTTCTATGCCCTAGGTGTATACAATTACAACTTTCTGGAACTTATAACTGTTAAAATATGTGCAGAACACATGACATTGATTAGAAGCACCTCTTCACGTATAACTTCCTTCTCAGAAACTTATTCTTATACCACGTGTATTATCCTTCTCCTTACCTTATAACCAAGTAAAGTGGTATGAATAACTACTTGGTAACTCACTTCAAGAATTCAATTGTTTAAAAATCTGTCAAATGATTTTTTTTTTTCAGAACGTCCTTAATTTTGGCTTTATGTTTTAAAATACGCCTTTATATTAATTTTCAATTAGTAAGTTATTAAAATTTGTTTTCAAAATCAGAATCTTCAATGCAGCATGACTGAAAATTACAGATTTTCAAAATTTCAGCCCTCAACTTAAGGTCTGAAAGATGTCAAACAGCTCAGAAATGCTTACTCCCTGTGCTAGGAGGAAATCATTGTTCTGAACCAGTGTCTGAGTCTGCAGATTTTTGCTTCCTTGTTAAAAGCTAAATAAAAAAAAAAAAAGAAAAAAAAAGAAAAAGAAAAAGCAAGGGAAGCATATCAGTCCATTTGGCACATTTATTCAATATGATCTTGCAAAGCCTTCAAACCTGGTGAAACACAGTAATACATGACAATGGGCTGATCAATCATTATGAAGTCAAGAACATTTCAGTATCAGCTATATTTTCCAGAAGCATGTCTGAAGCAGGATGAGTAGAAATAGATGAAAAATAAGAGAGATATATTGTCATTGCTGGAGGCTGAATGAAACTATTCAAGTAATTACCTTGAATACACATTTCCTTAGATTTTAGCATTTTTGTCTGTATGACAGTGATTTTTTAGGTCGACCCTATATACCTTTACGTATACACAAGTGTCATTTTTTTTTTTTTTTTTTTCTTAGCTTAATCTGCTTAATTCTGCATCCTATTAGAGAAGTCTTAATGGTATGGAATGAAGTAATAAAATATGCCAGGAAAAAATTCTTTTTGTTCCACTGTTTGTCTTCAAGTAATTTTAAAAACACACATTCATCCAAAGGGAGTAAAATCAAAATCTAAAACACACTTAGAATCACACGTTTAGTAAGTATGAGTGCCCAGTCCTTTCAAATATGTCAATCTATCACCATTTCCTTGGAAAGTAATAAATGTTCTCAGTGTAAAATTAAATTAAAAAGCATGAAAATACTTTCAGTACTGAGACCCTTAAAAAAAAAGTCAAGAAAAAAAAGTTAGGGTGAATTATTGGAAAGCTGGGACAATGGATCAGAAAAACTTTAGTAAGATTATTTTTTCTCTTTA